TTAAAAACCATTATCAACAAAATACAAAACACTACAGAAATCTGTCAATGTTTCTGTCAATGTTTTTGCAGATTATGATTATTATTTTTTTGTAAAATCTACATTTTTTTGGCAGAGTCTGCCAATACCTCGTTATAGTCTGCCAATACCTCAGCAGAGTCTGTCAATGTCTCGGTAGAGTTTACCAATATCTGGGCAGAGTCTATTAATATTTTGACAGACTCTGCCTTTTTCAAGATACTGGTAGACTCTGCTAATATCGGCAGAGTCTACCATTGTTTCGGCAGAATCTACAAATATTTTGGTAGAGTTTGCCTATTTCTAGATATTGGCAGAATTTGCCAATATTTCGACGGAGTCTACCAATGCTTTAGCAAAGTCTGCCAATGTTTCGGCCGAGTCTGCCTATATCTCGGCAGAGTCTGCCTATATCTCGGCAGAGTCTGCCAATATTTCAGCAGAGTCTGGCAATATTTTGGAAGAGTCTGCCAATACATCGGCAGAGTCTACCAATGTTTCGGTAGAGTCTGCCAATGTTTCGGCAGAGTCTGCTGATACCTCAGTAGAGTCTACTAATGTTTCGGCAAAGACTACGTTTTTCTAGTAGATGTTTTAAAAGTCTTCTAAAATGTTAGTAGACTTATATCTCACTCAACTAGTCTACCAATATCTCGACAAAGTCTTTCAATATTTTAGTAGAGTCTGCCAATATTTTGGTAGAGTTTGCGAAGAACAATTTTGGTATTATGGAAAAAAAAATCTAGAGTAGATTATTTCACCAATTAAAATATAGTAAAGTCATTATAGCTATTTAAAAAAAAAAATAGATTACTCTAGTTAATTTCCCGAAATTAAATTATCATAAAAATGTTGCCACTCACACAATTACAAGTAATAAAACAATATATTCATTTTGTAATCAATATGAGTTTTCTTTCAACATTTTTTCTTCCTCTTTCCTGGTTCCAAAATGATTACGCCATATTGTAGAGAGCAAGAAGTGGACAGATTATACAAAAACTTGCACTTTCGTTTTATGGTATG